TAGAAAACCTGTTCTCCTTAAAGATAGCTCCCCTGCCGGAGTTCCCAATTTCCTAGCATCCTGCTGTTGACAGTACTAGGCCCCTGGTGAGAGTTGAAAAGGTTTCCTGGTTGATGGGACTGGATGATTCAAGCCAATCTCCCTCCCAGCTCCCAGCTCCCAGCTCCAGAGGCTGGATCAGGAATAAATGGCTGAGGAGGCTGCAGGTGTTCAGTGGCCTGGTGTGGCCCTGGTTCACTGTTCTCAATTTGTCTGGGCCACCTCATTAGCTACTCTCTCCTTGGAAAAACAGAACTTCATGGGTTTAGCAACCATTTGAATGAAAAAGCTTGAAACACTGGGATGACTCTAGGATCAAGCCAATTAAAGGCTGCCTTTCAAAGTGAGGTTTTGGAAGGTAAGCTGAACCTTTGAAAAGGAATGTTAGTCATTGCCATGAAACAGGAGATGAGAGGAAGAACGTAGGCGGAAAATAGAAGACAAGAAGAAGCTGTCAGTTCCAGAAGTCAATCAGCTTGGTTTTAAAAATTTTTTTTTCTTCATGCAAATAATGTCCACTGAGGCTTCCCTGGGCCTTCGGTACAATGAGTATTGAACTTAGTGATTTTCACATTTAATTCAAGGAGAAATTAGTTGTTAGATATGAAGACAAAAGCAGGCAGACTCCCATCTCGACAAGGAGTCCTTCCCACAGAAGTGAAATTATCTCTGGAATAATTAAAATGCTCGCTGAAGTATAAAACTGTTCTGTTAACTGGAGTTGTCTTTGTCAAACAAGGGACCTTCCCTTCCCCAAACAAATCATGAAGATGCCAGTCAAGGTCAAGGGACTGAAAGAGATACAGTGACCCAACAAGTCATCAACAAAGTCATTGCTAAGCTAGAGAATAAAGTTGGGGGAGGTCCTGGTGGTGCCACCCTGGCAGCAGTCGAACTGGACAGTGAGATGTGAAGCTTTATTATTCTGGAGTCCCAGACTCTGAAGAGACTCCACCCCAATAAAGGAAATGAATCTGCAGTGGAAGCCTGGTAGACGACCAAGACTTCCTGGAAGGTCCCCAGCCTGCCTGTTCATGCTGGCAGCATTTCTAGAACCTGGATGCCTTCATTCCAAGAATAATGATTAAATAGCAGTGTTCTCATCTGCCAAAACCCAGTAACAGCCAGGACTTTCAAATTCATTCCTCCTAAGGAGGTGTTGTGATCGCCCAGTGTGATCCATCCTGTGCTCTCTACACTGTGATGTTTGACACTCTGTGATGTGACTCACCAGGCCCTTGTCACAAGTACATTACGCCGTCACAATGGGGCCCACCCTGTGGCCACATGGCCTGCACTCATACTCAGTGATTCACAGTGACGAAGTCTTCACAACCAAGGAGTTCTGTGCACGACAATCTCATTGCCTGTGTTCATGGCTATTGTATTTCTGTATTTATTAAACAATCCACATTTTAAACTCTATGTAGTCAACAGTCCTCTAAAATTTGTACAATGCTTAAAAAGACAATATGGATCTAACAAAAAGAAGTTTCTTAACATTTAAACATAGATTTTCAAAGTAAATATGTCTAGGCATTTATTTGAACTGATATATCTAAAAAGTCAGATTGCCATAACATTTTAAAACTCTGTAAAAGATAGACAAAATGTATACATAAAGACTAGCACTCTTAAAACACAGCAAAGTTATCAGTGCATAAATACCATGGACTGATAGTTCTTTATATAAGACCTGATGCAATGGCGTGTGCCTTTAATCCCAGGTTCTCTGGAGGCAGAGATCAGGAGGATTGCAGTTTGAGGCCAGCCTTGGTAAAAGCACGAGACCCTATTTGAAAAATAACTAAAGCAAAAAGGGATAGGGGCCTGCCTCAAGTGGTAGAGGGCCTGCCTAGCAAGCACAAGGCTCTGAGCTCAAACTATTCTTACTCATGCTCTTTTGAAAGTTTTTTGTTTTAAGTCTTCAGTAATTTTACAGGAAGCTATCACAGCTTCCTGTTGAACAGCCGAGTCACCTGCTCTGCTCGGCTATCTGATTGCTTCTCAGTTGGATATGAGAAGTAATTCTGAGCCTGCAGTCATCTGGCTTAATTCATTCCCATAACCAAATTCCTTTCTTTGTGTCAAAGAATCCTTACATCTTTACCCTTTACAGAGGTTTTCACTTCTGAACTTGGTGTCTTTCCTAGAGATGATAAATCTTAACTTTTGAGTATCTGCCAGTTCCTGCCCCATTATTCTGTCATTTTGATTTATTGAGCTTGTCTGTTAACATTATTAAAAACTTATGTATCTCCTATTATTATTTTATTCTAATTAGTTGAACCATTTAGAGGTTTCATCTCCTAGGAGATGCAATTGAGCCTGTGTAATTAGCTCTCTCCTTTAGGACAGCTAGCTCAGTCAACGCCTTGAAATGCAACGGTAGACTCTGCCCACCTGTGTGTTTGATATGGCCACAGGCTCTGATTGGTTTTTCCAAGACTTGGTACAGTACCTGCTTCATCTGAGAGTCTGGGTATTATCTTTCCTATTACACAGGTGGAAACAAGCACATCACGTTTTAAATATCCCCCATTATTATGATGATAATTCTAGCAAAACAGAATTCCTCTAACCCTAGTCACTGGCACTCCCCTTTAGTTTTCGCCTTACCTGAATTTCCCCTGTTGATTATATAAGACTTGTCTTCAAATAACTTCAAATCAATTTACTTGTCATAAGCCATAACGTTTGATATATCAACTATATTTTAGTTACTTTTTGTCAGTACAGCTGACTCTTCGCATGTGTGGGTTTGCATCCACAGATCCACCCAATTACAGATTGAAAGCATTTGATAAAATGTTGCATCACAGACTTTGTATCATTATTCTCTCAGTAATAAAGTACAACAAATATTTGCATAGCATTCGCAGTGTATTTGATAAAGTAGTCTAGTGATGACTTAAAGCAGAAGAGAGAATGGGTTATATATACAGCTCTCATGGCGTTTTAGATAAGGAATGGAGCACACACCGATTTTGCTATCCAAGCAGGGTCCTGGAACAAATCCCCTGCAGACACTGAGGGGCAACACCCCACATTAAAATAAAGCCATAAATGTGGAAGTGACAGGCTGTCCCATCACCCTTGATCCTCTTGTCCGCTGCCAGGACACGTTATCACTCCAGAATTGAGGAAAACTGTTGGAAGACCATGTCAAGAATTCTAATTGCTGGGTATATACAAATAATTTATTTTGAAAGGATTTGCAAAAACACATCCCCCATTTTTAAAAGCACCAATTGAAGAGAAAGTCTTACTGGTTTAAGTAAACCACATGCTTTAAGAAAAACAGAATACAGTAAAATAAGATTGAAATGTGTGACTACAACACCACTGTTCTCTGGCTCAGTCATGCTCAGGCCACAGTTTGTTTGCCCACCCCCAGCTTCTCTGGGGCCCCTGAGCACGTGGGGCTGGGGAAGGACTTCTTCCAGGTTAGACTGTATGCTAAGGAGAGACCACCTGAGGAGGAGAGAGCCTTGCAGTAGATAAAGAGCCCTAAGTATGAGACTGGGGTCAGGAGGACCTCAGTGCAGGTGAGAAAGGAACAGCAAGTGCTGGCAGGGCTGGGCAACAGGGAGGGAAGGGCCTGGTATAGAACACAAAGCAGCTTGGGTCAGGCTGGTGGCTTACACCTGTAATCCCAGCTGCTCAGAAGGAGGAAAATGTGAGGATCATAGTTCAAGGCCAGCCTGGGCAAAATGTTAGTAGATGACACCCCCATCACAAAAAAATGACAGGTATATACTCATGTCTATAATCCCAGCTACCTGGGAGGCACAGATAGGAGACTCACCATCAAAGGCTGACCTCAAGCAAAAATGTCACCCTATCTAAAAAATAAGTGAAAAAGGACTGGAGGTATAGTTCAAGTGATAGAGTGCCTGCCTGCTAAGTGCAAGGCCCTGAGTTCAAGTACTACCCCCCACACACACACAAAAGAACACCATGAGCTCACTGAGGAACAGACCACCCACCAGGGCACAGCATGGATTTCAGCCGCCATGGGGTTTTGAGCAGGAAAATGATTTGGGCTCAACGCACCAGTTATCATGCAGGGAACAATTATCAAGAATGATAACCAACACCCCCGATGGGTCACCCTCGTCTCCCCCAAGTGAGAGCTGATGCATCTGATGGAGGAGGGGTGGATGTGGCTTGTATCTGTTTTGAAAAGTACTGGAATTTTCTTTTTCTTGATACTGTTAAGATCAAATATATTTTCTTGACACATATATGGTATGGTTGTATATATATATTCATCGGTAGGCATACTGACTCTTAGATATGCTGATATTATCTCTCCATATCTAATAGATACGTATCTATATATGCATATTACAGTTTTCCTTTTGAGAAATAAACTCTCTTTGTAGGGAGAAGAGCGGGAAAATAACTTGCTTAAAAAATATTTTAGCATTTCTAGTGAAACATTAAATGTGTAGCATAGAAGATGCATGGCACAGTCTCCTGTTTTGGCAAAGATGGGTTTAACTGGCAGAATACCAGTGTAAGATCTGAAGTCAGCTTTTACCATTAGGGACAACCTATAGGATATAGATTTAGGGCCAAGCAACCAGGTGCCTCCACATGCGAGCTACAGAAATAGACAAGAATGGGTCAAGAAGGGGCCACTGGAGCAGGACTAAGGTAGAAATTCAATGTATGCGACCTTGAACATTAAATGTGTAGCATAGAAGATGCATGGCACAGTCTCCTGTTTTGGCAAAGATGGGTTTAACTGGCAGAATACCAGTGTAAGATCTGAAGTCAGTTTTTACCATTAGGGACAACCTATAGGATGTAGATTTAGGACCAAGCAACCAGGTGCCTCCACATGCGAGCTACAGAAATAGACAAGAATGGGTCAAGAAGGGGCCTCTGGAGCAGGACTAAGGTAGAAATTCAATGTATGCGACCTTGACTCTGCTTCCTCTCCCTCACTGCAGTGATCCCGAAGGTCACAAAGCACCTGCTCTCAAACCCTGTGTTCACCTGCATCGTCCTGGCTGCCTGCATGGAGATCGCGGTGGTGGCTGGCTTTGCTGCCTTCCTGGGCAAGTACCTGGAACAGCAGTTTAACCTTACCACCTCTTCTGCCAACCAGCTGCTCGGTGAGTGTGTCCTTCTGTCCTTCTGTGTGTAGCCCTCTAAGAAATCACCAAGATCCCCAAGGAGCCCAGCTCTGTATTGGGTGTACAGCACTAGTGCACATGTGGCCTGTGTGCACAGGGAATTTCCAAGTGCATTCTCAAGGGGAGGTCCACACACCTGGGGCTATTACTAAAACTAATGATAATGAAGAACAAAAAATATAAAGGTACATAAGTAGTATTGTGAGAGACCAGGAAGTCCCTTGATTGCTGTGAACTGGTTTCAAGGAAGAAAGAATGAAGGAAGAGGGCTGTCGGATGGATTGTGAATGGTTTGCAGGTTTTTGTCAGTCACATAAGACAACAAGAATATTCTTGCCAGGACGAAACCCACAATTAACAAACAGAGAGCTTGGAAGGTGCGCCCATACACTTGCCCATGGCAGACATAACTAATGGATCACTGCGTGGATTTACAGTTCTCAACAGTAGATATCAGTCATATACTCCTGATTGTTTAGAGTTGAGCTAAGAAAATCAATTTGCCCTCATAAAAAGCCATATTGCTTACTCAGGGTGAGAAATGTGGTCTTCGTTTACTTTTCATTTTGTAGCAATTTATTCTTCCTTATCTCAAATGAATAGAAAACTGCATTAGTTGAGAGGAACAGCTCAGGTATTGACTGGTAGTGGACAGAACAGAAACACAGCATTTGAAGGTGAGGGCAGAGTCCATCATGAGTGTCTGGCTTGGACAACCAATGCCCTAACTGGTGAAAACTGGAAATATCAGAGAAGAATCAGATCTGTGGAAAGATTCTGAGTTTAAACTTGAAGTTGCTAGGTGTGAGATGCCCTTAGTATGTCTAAGTGGTGTCCTGTGCTTTAGTTGAAGGCTCAAGAAGGGATCTGAGTTAGTAATATAGGATATCACTAAACTATATTTTGTATACATACATATAGATAGATAGATATCCCTATTACTATATTATATGTAATAATACAGACTTGGATGCATCAGCATATGGGTGGTAGTTGAATAGAATTCATATGACCAGATGTGTAGAATTAAAGGGAAGGGGTGAAACCCCGGCCTGAGAATGTAGGGGAATCTTCAGAGAAGTTGAAGAGACAGCATCAAAAAGAAATCTAGACAGTGTGGGTCATTGTGGGAGTCTAGGAGAAGGTAATTCCAAGAAGGAAGCAAGATGAGAGTCCAGCTGTCTCTGTCTTGTAGCTGCTCAGGGTTGTGTCCATTTAGGGGCAGCAAAGGAGCCCATGTTGGCAGGGAGGGCAGCCCAGGAGAGGAAGAGACAGATGGGGAGCACAGAACTAAGTAATGGAAGGAAGGAGCCAGGCCATGGCATAGGCACGTGTTGAAGTCTGGGGAGCAGGGGGGCTTGCTGCTCAGACACAAAAGACTTGAGCAGAGAGAAAGGTGCCAGCAAAAGGTGATCTGCAGAAGAGAGTGGACAAGGGTAGATAGTCTTTGACAGAGAGTTCATCTGTTCCCTTGAAAGGGCAGGGAAGGGACATATGATTAATGTCACTCTGCTGAGAGTGACAGCATGGTGGGTGTTGGAGGATCCTCCCACTTGATGGACTTGACCCATTCTCTTAAGTAGGAGTCATATCCTTTGTTGAGAAGAATGGGAGGGTGGCATTTTCTCATCTTTTACTTTAAAATCTCCTGTCACTTGACGAAATGGCCAATAAACAAACACACAGGTTCTAACCATTGTGAGTCCTCAGGGAAACGCACAATGAAACCCCAAGGAGAGGCTGCAACACAGCCACCAGGCTGACATCGCCAAGTGTTGGTGAGGATGGGGAGCAACCGGAACTCCTGCCCTGTGGACAGAATGCTGGGGCTGCTCTTTGGACGATTCTTTGGCAGTGCCCATTAAAGCTGAGCATACGGTTACTCTGTGATTCAGTTCCATTCCTGGGCATCTGTCCAACAGAAACGAGTGTTTAGGTCCACTCATTTACATATGCATATATTACAACATTCAGAGCAGCTTTCTACATAATTACCCCACACTGGAAACAACCCAAATGTCTGTTAACAGCAGAATGGGTAAATAAATTCTAAACTGTTCATACTGTGAGCTGTTATACAGCATGACAAGGAAAGACGTTTGATTCAGGCTTTCATTAGGATGAACCTCGGAGTTGAAAGACAGCAGACACAAAAGAGAACATATTTAGGGGAATTTAAAAGAGGAATAGTTAATTAAGATGAGAGAGACCAGAGTGATGGCTACCCTTGAGGGGAGCTAGTAGGATCAACACATTGAACTGCTCTAAGCTTGATCTGAGAAGTGATTCTGGGGGGAGTTCTATACATACTAAACTTTATTAAGCTATTCCCTTAAGTTCTATGTATTTCACAGGCTATAATGTATCTCAATAAAATATAATTTAAACCCTGACCACATAGCCATGTAAAAGTTCCCTCTCCTTGGAATATGCTAGGGACACACTTTTATTTTTCTTTCTTTCATTCGTAACTATTTGCCATCCACTATTTTGTTTTTGTAATGCCCATCTGACAGAGGGTAAAATATTCCTCCTCTCAGTTAAAGTTATAAGTTCTTCGTTACCCCCCACCATGATTTCTCAGGTTTGGTCCTGCAGCAGCCAAAGCGTTTATCTCTCACCTCCTGATTTCTTTGCTCTTCCTTACATTTTGATTTCACCTGCATGGTTGCTTTGACATTGGGGCTGTGTCCTGTGTTAGAACAGGTGCCTGTGTTTTCTATCAACAAACAAATCAATAGTCTTCAGGGCAGAAGGTCAAAAAAAACAATTTTGTCTTCTCGCACCTTGCTTATTTCTGCCTGTTAGAGCACTTCACAGGGTGGGGGAGAGGGGAGCTGTCTCAAATACCCTGGCAGTCAGGTTGGTAGCACAAGCACACCCTCTTTCTGTACCCAGCCTGGGTCCATTGCCGCAAACAGCCTGTACTAGGGAAGGCTGGCTGCAGGAGGGTGCTGTTTTAGGGTAATCCTCCCTTGACAGCTCCTGCAGACCTGGGAGGGCTGCTATCCCAAGGGATGGCACAGCACTCTGGACCACCCACAAAGTCATCAGCAACTGGGGCAGAGTTCAGAGAAGAGCAATAGCCATGATTGAGGAGTCGATGATATTGATTTATGAGTGAAGATTAAAAGGGTTCAATCTGCATAAGTTAACCTAATAAGGATGGAGTTTTGGTCAGGGAAGTTCTGATAACCACCTGGAGCGTTAAGGACATATGCATACATCAAGATGGGAGAGGGAAGGCTGAGGATGGAGGAAAGGTGCCAAAAGCCAGTTATCGCCATGGTTACCATCATCACCAGGTGACACCCCCACTGTCTCTGCTAGAAAATGAAACAAAAGCCAGTCAGAGCACTGGCGTGTTGTCACTGATGCTCATTCAGTCTGCTCACAACTTAGTCATTCTGAAAACGATACCCTGGTGCCATCCTGTGTGGGCACTGTGAGGTGAGACGATGGGGATTGGGCTGGAATGAACCGAACCAGAGAAGCTGTGGGCTAATGGAGGGAGCAAGAACAAGAAACAGGAAAACCAACAGTAAATGAGGCCACTTTAAACAGCAGGGAGAGCCCTGGGAACAAAAACCTAGGCTAGAAGAATAGGGCACCCCAGGGTGAAGAGCAAAGTCCACCCTTGCCCCTCGGAGGAGGGCAGGACCAGCCAGGGAAAGGACATCCCAGGAATGGTATCTGCAGATACAAACCTGGGGGACCTGAGCCCTATAGGCTTTTCCAGGAGGGGAGAAGGGGAGAAATGGTCATGGGAGGGGGATAGAGACACAGATGTAGCTCATGGGCATCGTGTCTATACCAAGGGACAGAAAGCATGCACAGATAAGCCAAAGGCAGCAGATGACATACAGATATATGTTTAAGTATGGCTAGTGCTATTGTCTGGCCAAGCTGAGCCTCTCTGATTATTCTTACTCTAATATTAAAATTAATTTGCATTTTCTTACCAGCTGGTTGATGTAACTGATTGACCCAGAGGTCTGCTGATTGGCAGGGAGGAGGCCAGCAAGACTGGAAAATTAACCATGCATAATCTACACAGTAGATAAATGACATGCAGTAATTTACAGCTGAGTGCTAGATGAACGGATCAGAACAGAGCCAAACCAAACAGGGGATGGGGACCCTAGGATCCTTTGAGCCTTCAAAAATCAGAAGCAACAGTTCTGGAGCCACTGCCTTGCAGATAGCTCAATGTGTAAAAGAGAAAGAGAAAAAAATACATAAGCAATTACTCATCAAGAGCAGCAAAATGTAGCAACTTGATTGGTGGTACTCCATGAGGCATGGCAGAGCTGACTAACAGACACTCTGCACACTGGTGAATCCTGGCACCTTTGGGTGAGCAGCCTGTGAGCCCTGCTTGCTGCACCTTCTCTCCTGACCACATAAGCAGAGGAAGAGAGCTAGGCACTGCTGGCCTAGCTACTTGGGAGGCTGAGTGGAGGAGGATCACAACTTGCAAATAGTTGGCAAGACCCCATCTTCAAAATAACCAGAGCAAAATGGACTGAAGGTGTGGTTCAGGCAGCACAGTGTCTGCTTTGCAAGCACGAAGCCTTGAGTTCAAACTTCAGTGCTACCAGAAAAGGACTTGTGATAACTGAGTTTTTCCATGTTTGACACCCTCCATTTTCCTTGAGCTCACTGAGGGCAGAAATGGGGCCCTTCGTGAAGTCTCTGGGGCAATAACTCCATGGTGGAGTCACAGGGAGCACGCAGCGCTCAGCCTCAGGTCTGCCACCCTCCCATCAGCATAGATTGGCTTTTTGTCCCCGTTCACAGTCTGCCTCTTCTTCCCCCAGGGATGACCGCAATCCCATGTGCCTGTCTGGGAATCTTCCTGGGTGGCCTCCTGGTGAAAAAACTCAGCCTATCTGCCTTGGGGGCAATTCGGATGGCCATGCTTGTCAACCTGGTGTCCACAGCCTGCTATGTCTCCTTCCTCTTCCTGGGCTGTGACACAGGCCCTGTGGCTGGGGTGACTGTCCCCTATGGAAACAAGTGAGTACCACAACCTTCAGCTCCTGCCCCTCCCTACTCAGGGCCACCAGGACTCCCTTTCCACCTCAGATTAATAGAGCCAGCTTGGTCCCTAGCAGGCCTGGACAGAGGAGCCGAGGCCACCTCTGCATGGTGCTCTCTGGGTGGAATCAGCCTGGGTGTCCCTGTGGGCAGAGAGAGCAGCCTGTCCCCACCAACAGTCCACAGAGCCCCTGGGGAGAGGAAGAGCTACTCCCTCCCCAGAGGACTTGGCTTGCTCTTTTTGGTCTTTGACATCAGGAAGGATGTGACGATAGAAAAGGAAATTTTATTTCAAAATTCAGCTTAAAGTAAAAGAATCAATTTCAGTAATTCCTTTAACTATCAGAAGCTGCTATCAGACCCACAGAGTAATTACAGGATTTAGCCTCTGAGAGCATTTTGAAGGTTAGAGGGAGAGAAGTGAGGCAGGATGGTAGCTGGTCCTTATGGGGCCATGTTCCTTGGTTCCTGGTTATTTTCCCAGATTCCCATTGGGATTGCCCTTAGAGGGAAAGTCCTTATCTCTCTTCCCAGTGTCAATAGCTGTCGTCTTTCCTGCATGGGACTCTGAGGCTGCTTGGGAGTCCAGCCAGGAGATGGCTGCAACAGGATTGGCCTGCGGGTACCACTTCCTCTCCCTCTGCAGCCAGGCTTCTCCTCCAGGGAGGCCACCAGGTGGCTTCTACAGTTAGGCCACAAGATGCCACAGAGTCAGGACTTGTCTGCTGCCCCTCGAGGGTGAGCAGAAAAAAATGGAAGGATAGAGCTACAGCTGTCCATAGACCCGTGCACAATCCAGGCACCATGTTCCCCTCCTCCTCCTTTATGCCTGTCACCTCTTCCAGTCCCCGCTCCAGCCCCCAGGTCCTCACTGCTCAGATGTGGTGTCTTCTGCTTTGCACTTGACCTAAACAACAGCCCTTACCTCAGTGGTTTGCTCAAATTGCAAATCAAAAACTATAGTGATTATAAGCACGGGGTCCTACTCCGTGATGGCATTATAGTTATGCAATAGGAGCAGGGCCTGTGGTCACACTGCCCAGCCCTGACCCCTCCTCTGCATTTTTTTGAACAAATGATCCAACCTGGCCTGCCTCAGTTTCCTTCTCTATGAAGCCTATAGGATTAAACAGAGAAGAAATGATATGTTACATGGGATGCCTTCAACAGAGCATGACACAAAACTGTCAGGTGTCACCGTCATCATCTTTATTGTCCTGAAGTGCTCTGAGTGTTAGGGAACAGAGCACAAAATAATGGTGTTGAAGAAGACACAACTCCTTTATTACCCGCTAAAAGACCTCCACTCCATCCTTTTGCTCTTTTTGCAGTGTGCCTGCACTGGGTAACTGTGCCTTTCATGATGCAAAGGACAATTTAAAACATCTTAGTGTTATTTCTCTTGGGACATTGAACGAATCAGACAGACAATAATTGTGAAGTCACTCTGGTTGTGGCAGTATTGTAAGCACCATGAGGTGATAAAATAGAGGCAGGACCTGCCCAGAGGGAAGAGGCTAATGGTCCAGCTGTGGGGCACGGGTGTTGGTTCAGGCTGGGAGATGAGTGGAGGGCACAGAAGTTGGAGAGGCATCGTGAGGATGGGGTGGCTCTGAACCGAGTCCCAGCTGCCACCAGCCCGGAAGGCTTACAGACACAGATGACAAAAGGCCTTCCACCTCCTTTTGCTGACTGGAGCCAGAGCTGGGCTTTGCCACCACCAAGCCAGCCACCCAATCTGGCACCACTGTGCAGGGCACAGCCTGCATGACTCTTGGCAGTGGGCCTTGCAGGAGAGGAAGGATCAAGATGAGGAGAGGAAAAAGAAGAAGGGGTCCAGGGAGAGCTCCTTGAGCAAGGGAGGAGCTGTGATTAGTGAGGTGATTCATCACCACAGGTGGCAAAGGCTGTCACTGGGGCATCCTGTCACCAAAGCACCTTCAGCTAAAGGGTTCCGCTTCCCTTCTTCTCCAGCTCAGCGCGGGGTGCAGCCCTGGACCCCTACTCACCTTGCAATAAGCACTGCGAATGTCAAACTGACTCCTTCACTCCAGTGTGCGGGGCTGATGGCATCACCTACCTGTCTGCCTGCTTTGCTGGCTGCAACAGCACGGTAAGGGGACCGAGCATTTGCTGGAAGGGAAGGCAGGGATGTGAACAGCCATGGCAGTGTACACAGGTCAAGGGCAGGAGTGGACAGCCACAGATGCTTCCCAGCTGTCTCTGCCCTGCTGCACAGGAGGCTCCTCTGTGAGAGCATGAGAGGACAGACCAGCTCCTTGGCCTTATTGCTAATTCAAGTTGGCTTCCGAGGAGCTTCTGTGAGCACTGAAAGGAAAAATGTGAAGTAAACTGTATGTGTGTCTTCTAAGAAAATGACTGTGCCCCTAGGTACTGGCAAAGGTGCCATGGAATGGACTGTCTGCAGAGCGGGTGAGCTCACCACCAGTAGAAGCATGTGCAGAAAGAGTAGAAAACAGCTGGACATGTGGATGCATTGCCTGTGATCCCAGCTAATCAGGAGGCAGAGGCAGGAAGATCATGAGTTCAAGGTCAGCCCAGGCAAAGTTAGCTAGGCCAGTGTCAAAAACAAAATGAAAGCAAAAGGGCTGGGGACACGGCTCAAGTGGTAAAGAGCTTGCTTAGTGTGCATGGGGCCCTAGTACTGCAAAAAGAAAAGAGAAAAGGAAAGAAAATAAAATCACTTACCAGGAAACCTCTTCCGGACCTGAGGCTCTGATGGTGATTCATTCAGACCCTTTGCAGCTCAGTATCCTTTGCCTTTTTCTGTCCACTTGGATATCGTCCACCTTTTTCCTTCTTCCCACCCCCTTTTTTTTTTTTGGCTTTTTCCTTCTGGGTGTGAATTTTACAGTTGGCTGTCAGCCCTCAACCTTCCATGTTCTCCTCCTGGAAACTCAACGCTAAGTGACTGGCTATAGAGTCACGGTGACCCTGCCTTTCCAGGGTCTCTCACACCTGCCCTTTCTCTGCACTACACTGCAGCTTCCCTGATGTTCACCCTCTCCATCTCCTACTCAGACCCAAGCAGTAGTCACCAACTGTTCTCCTAGGACAGTCCCTCCTGTTCTGTTGTCTACATTACTGCTGGAAGGATTTCTTTAATGGTGCAAAGGACCCTTTTCATGCTGCCCTGTCAACTGTCAACTAACCCCAAGCCTAGTTTTGTGTCTTCACCATATGTCTTTAGCTTTCACCTTGTGGTATTCAGCTTTTGCATTTTTCTCTCCACTTGGATAACTCCTACTCAACCCTCAATACCCTACTCAAATGCCCCTGCTCCGAAATGATGACCCCTCCCTTGCTTTAGCTCTGAGGTTCCTGTCTTGGAAGTCTATTGGCCTCTGTTCTTCCCTGATGGTCCCTGTTTCAGTTCTCCGCAGTGATCTGAGAGAAGTGACCATCCTATGCTCTGATCTTTGAGTCTCTTGAGCAAGGCCATCGTCACCCAGAAGTGTCTCGTAAATGCTCACGTCATGCACAAAAGGGAAGGGAAATAGGAAGGCTGAGTGGCTGCTTTAGAGGAGCTTAAAACCGAGGTCACTCATCTCCTCTTTGTCCCTTATCCTGGGTCTTAGAACAGCAATTCCCCAAAGAAGGGGAATGAATGGACTATTTATTTTCAAACATTTCATTTTGCCCTCCCTCTTAACATTTAGGTTCCTGGCCAGTTATTAACATTGTCTATAGAGGAAATAAATCACCATGGGGGTGAGTGGGAGAAACTGGATTTCTAAATTAGATGGTAAAGCAATTTCTTTACGGAAGTAGAAATAAGTATTAAAAATGGTTGGGGCCTTACAAATGGTTAAGATGAAAACACAAGCTATTATTTTTCACAACAACTTCATTAACATTTTAATATCTGAAACATTTTATTATAAGTCAGCTTCTTGGGATGTCAGCCTATGATAAGAATGAAATTGAGGGAAGGGGTTGAACGGACCAAAGTAAAGTAGACTCGCAGTGGGGACACACTGAGAAACCCCCTTAAACATCAGCTGAAATATTAATAATGAAAACCAGGACTGTAAAATAGGTACAGTGGTTGGGGGCACTAGTGGGAGGGGAGGGGGAATGGAGGAGATGGAGGTGAGCGCATATGGCAGATGGACTTCATATGCTTATATGAAAGAAACCTCTTGCAATTGCTTTAAGTGGTGTGGGGTGGGGATCGAGGGGGAGAGGGGATGGGGGTGATCTGACCAACGTACAATGTAAACCTAATCAAAACTGTCACTGTGAATCCCCCCATATAATGAATATATCCTAATAAAAAATTTATAATTAAAAAAATGATTCAGCGTAGCCTAGAGTCCTGAGACCAAACAGTTCTGCATTCCAGGGAGTGCGCTGACCAAAAGAATTGTCCTAAAAATTGCATTTCTTTGCTCTTGCTTGGATAAGAAGGCTGATTGTATAAGAGCTTAATGAGATCAATGGCTGCTTGTGGCAGCAGAGTTTTGAGATGCAATTACAGGACATAGACTCTCTCTACCTCTGGACATATGCTCTGTTCCCTAGACACCGGCCCATTCTTCACTCTACCTGGGGCTTCACTGTCTGCTGGGTGCAGGCAGGGCTGGGAGGTTGTGCCCGTGCAGCTACAGGGCAGAGAAAGCACCAGTCCAGGGATGGGACAGGAACGGGGTTGAGGATGGGGAAACCATTCCTTCCCCACAGTGGCAGCTCTTGCTTCCTACATGTGGAAAAGAGATTTGGAGACACAGAGCCATGCTTATTTTGACCCGACTGTAATAGTCAAGCCTTAAAAGCAATCGCAACTAGCCAGGCATAGTGGCTCATGCCTGTAATCCCAGCTACTAAAGAGGTGACATTTGGGGAAGATTGTAATTCAAGGCCAGCCTGAGCAAAAAAGCGAGCTAGATTCCATCTCAAGAAAATGAGCTGGGTGTGAAGGTACACATCTATAATCCCAGCTACTCAAGAAGCATAGGTAGGAAGATCACAGTCCTTAGCTAATCCCAGGCAAAAGCTCCAGACCCTATGCAAAACATAACTAAAACAAAAACAAAAGGACCAGGGATGAGGCTCAAGTGGTAGAGCACCTGCCCAGCAGGCTCAAGGCCCTGAGTTCAAAACTCAGTGCAGTCACTCAATCAATAAATGCTACTCTATAAAACCTGCAACAGCAGGAAAGTTTGTTGAGTGCCAGGTCATGGGTCCTTCCACCTGTCACTCATGGCCCATGGCAGCTTGGCCCAGAGTCAATAGGACAACATCCAAAAAGGAGCAAAAAGCAATTTGAATCTTTTATGTCTCCCAGCAGCATTTTGAGCGAGCGCCAAGTGGAGAATTATATTCCTGGTACGTGGACTCCTTCCTGCTCCCCACCACCACCCCGCCTTTCTTTCCTGTGCCCTCCAGGCGCCTAATAAAACACTCCCACAAGTGTTCCCTGGAGTCCCCACCTTTGCTTTCCTGGTTCTCCTGGGGCTCCCCCCAACTTTGTCATTTTCCATCTTCCCCACCCACATGGGGAGTCTGTGCTCCTTTTTAGTCTTTTTTTTTTTTTTGCAGTGCTGGGGGTTTGAACTCAGGGCCTCACACTTCCTAGACAGGCACTCTTACCACTTGAGCCACTCCACCAGCTCCTTTTTAGTCTTGATTCTGGTGGAGGCTGGTCCCTTGCCCAGGTCACACAGCACAGAGTGACAGATGTCCAGAGTCACACTTAGCATCTTCCTCTGCACTCTGAGGCCCCCCTTTTGTGGGTTCCCACCTTCTTTCTCCTTTAAACAACCTCTTCATGCTTGCTGTCCACAGACAGGGCACTCAGCCTCTGCCATCTGGCCTGAGACCCCTCTAGCCTCAGTTTCCCTTCTTCTCCCACCTGTTTTTTGTTTGTTTTGGGTTTTTTGTTTTTGTTCTTGTTTTTTTGGCAGTATGGGGGTTTGAACTCAGGACCTCACACTTCCTAGCTCTACCACTTGAGCCATACTCCCTGCCCTTTTTGCTTTAGTCATTTTTTAGATAGGGTCTTATGTTTTTTGTCTCAGTCATCCAGGACCCCTACTTATGTCTCCTGCGTTGCAGAGATGACAGATACATGCCACCAGGCCAACTTATTGATTGAGATGGGGTCTCACTAGCTTTTTACCTGGGCTGGGTTTAAACTTTGATCCTTCCAATCTCTACTTCCCGAGTAGCTAGGATTACAGGTATGAGTCACCACACCTGGCTTCTGTTACCTTGTAAAGAGCAATTTGCTAAGTGGAATTTCTTCAGGTTCCCCTACCCGCAAGCTCTCCCTTGCCCCCAGACATTCACACATGTCACCTACCTGGTCACCTTTTCCAGGATGATGCTAGTACTCTGTCTAGCAGCTCCCACCACACCTGCTCTCACCTGGCAAGACTAATCCCACTTGTCCTAATGGCTCCTTTACTTCAGTATCTTCCAACCCAGGCTCCAGGAATGGGGGATCTATTGTGGACTCTTGAATTCTGAGTGCCAGACATGGTTCTGGATGAAGGCCCAGACCTCCTGAATTTCTCGCTAGAGCTCCTGTGCCCACAGAGGTGACCCACCTGTGACATCAACACTGTCTTGTACAGCACCTGGCAGGCAGGTAGATTGGTGGTGCTGATTTCAAAACTAACAGCCTTATCCTTATTCATTTCTCACCATTTTATAGCTTCCACCAAGACTTGTGAAAATTTCCCATAACTTGATCAGATGTGAATAAGTCAACCAATCAAATGTTTGTAATTATAAGGAAATCTGGACCACGTTAGCCGTTTCCTGGTATTAGACTTTCCTTCCTGTCTTGGCTAGGATTTTTGTTTCGAGTTGTCTTCTATTCTAGCTCCTTGAGTGATAGGAAAGGGAGCTTCCAGGACAGTGTTTAATATTAAATCTCTAATTCTTCTCATTGCATGTGATCAGAAGGGGTGACAGAAAAATTGCAAGTTAATTTTGTAAGTTTCCTTTGGCATGAATTTCTTGTCCAGATTGTTTCTGTACCTTGCACTTCCAGAAGTAATTATTCCAGCAGAAAGCAAAGTAGTTTACTACTAACTGACTGCTAGAGCTGTATGCTTCTGATGTACTGGATAATTGACTGAAAAA